GTCATCTATTTGGCTTTTCAACTCTTTTAACGTCTGATTTATGTATTTGGGGGCTCTTTCATTGGGTCCATAAATATTTATTATGGTTATATCTTCATTGAACAACTGATTTTTAAGTAAAACCAAAAGATGAAATGAAATTTCCTTTATCAGTGGAGAAGGAAAGGAAATGAAAAGTTAAGCTGATTTTTTTAGAAAATCCTTTATAAATTAATACACACTGATTCTGAAACTACCTGTGTGTAGGGTCTGAATTTCTTGTAAGAAATTTAATCCTATTTCTACAAGTAGTCTAGAATTTCTGTTTGCTTCAGTTTGCCTCTTAGAAAAAAGAAAGAAAAAGAAAAATTCTTTCAAAAGAAGACATATTCTTAGTAGAGATAACCAGACAGAGGGAAAGAAATACAGTATTCCAAAGATTGTGTTAAGATTGTGTTAAAATAAATACCAGGTACTCACTCAAATTCCTGGCTCCCAGTAGTGATACGGAAAACCATCTTCCTCTTCTCACTGTACTCAAATGCAGTCAAGAATCCTGGTTCCTACAGAAACATAAAAAGGAAGCTTTAGAAAAGGTGTAAGGTGATGTTTTTTATTTCAACTGTTGCCAAAAACTATTAACCTGATTATTGGGTCATTATTTGGCAAAAACTACAGTTTAGTTGTCTTTAAAGATAGCACATCATCATCATGGCTAACAACACAGACACTGGAGCCACCTTCTCTGAGTTCAAAATAGGCCTCCACTACTTTATTAGTTGTACAATGTGGGGTAAAGTACTTAATCTTTCTGTACTTCAGCTGCCTCTTGTGGGTAAAATGGGGATAATAATAGTGTCTCTCTCATAGGGTAGCTGTGATGATTAAATAAGATGTATGAATGAATTTGCTTAATAAAGCCAAATGGTATTTTACTGAAAGACTGAGTTGATTTTATTGAACAGCATCATTATTCCCCCCCAGGTCTATAAATTGCAAAGAGCCCAGAATATTCAAATATGCAAATATTCCCAAGGCAATATTTTTCCAGATGGTAGGTATACTATTTATTTGTTGAAGTAATGAGCTAAAACTGATGCAATGGTATAATTAGTGAAAATGGTCCCTGATGTGGGCTAATGTGTTTCTCTCTTTGTTGTTTTATAATACAATAGATCATAGTTCCCAAACTTTGAAGAACTTTGGCAGGGAGTGGGTTGGGGAACCTAGACTGTATCATACTTCAATAGCCTGAGCCTCTGTGTTCATTATTAGTCTACATGGGTGATTCTGATACACACAGATGTTTTAGAACAACACTAGAACATTAACTTCATTTCTCTCTCTCAATCTCTTCAAGAATAAATAGTTTCAGTTAAGAAAGAATAAGACCCTGAGTGTAGTAGTGGGTGCTTTAGAAGGAGTGGGGTTCTTTTCTTTGGTGATGGAATTGAGTTTACCAAAGAAAAGATTAATGCCTAGGAACTATGACACAGGAAAGTTTTCCAAACTCTGGGTGCTGCTCCAAGGGCTTCCTTAGATACCCTGGCAGCTGTGGAATTGACCTTGATGACACACTGCCAGAAGGTAGAGCAACTGAGCTGAGTTCAGGTTTGTTCAGTGGGGTCCTCTTCCAGTTGAGGACATCACTGCCACTTGCATCATTCTCCTGTCTTGACTGGTAGGGAATCAAATGGCTGTCAGTGAAGAGAGACCTTCTAGGACTTGCTGGGAATAGACCCTCACATGCTCGTGTAGAAGTAGAAAAGTTTGCTCTTCTGCAAAGAAATGGAGCTGGTGACTTCCCTTCTTCACATTGCTATTTCCCAGACTGTATCCAGTGGCATGCAAAAACTCTACACAAAAGTTTGGGTCAAAGCCTCTGCTTTTGCCTGGCAGCCTCCCAGCTGAATGGGTCCCTCATAGTCTACGGGCCATCTGCAAAGTATGGGTTACTTTAGGTCAGCTGCCTCAGTGAGACTATTCTTGATCATAACTAACTCTACTGTTCACATGTAGACCCAACCACCATAAATCTTTTTATACTCCAGTGATCTCTTATCCATTGGCTATACCAGGAAAGTTTAACTTTTTTGGTACTGAGGGTTTTGCAATAGCCATATTTAATATTTGAGGAGACAAAAGAAAACTAAGGAGGAAGAAGGTAAAAAAAAAAAAAAAAAATTAAAAGAAGGAACATACATACAATGGAATATTATGCAACAATAAAGAATAATGAAGAATCTGCAAAGCACCTCATACTGTGGATGAACTTGGAGGACATTAACCAAAAAACCCAAACTCACTGCCGTCAAGTCAGTTCTGACTCATAGCGACCCCTCTTTGGGTTTCCAAGGCGGTATCTCTATAGACATTATGCTTAGTGAAATAAGTCAATCACAGAAGGACAAATACTATATGAGTTCACTATTATAAAAAGTCTGGGAAAGGTTTACAAGGAAGGAAACTTTCTTTGTTGGTTACCAGGGGTGGGGGTAGGGCAGATTACTAGCTAGGTAAGAAGCATGTATTGATTTGGGTGAAGGGAAAGGTAATATACTAAAAGCAGGTGACCAGCACAATTCCACTAAGGAAAAAAGAAGACATGGAGAGGTGTACAAGAGGTAGAGACACAACAAAGATAAATACTATTACATACACAATACTGCATTATCAACGATAATAACAAACATTAGTCTATAGGTGGGTACTTCAGTAGACAGTCAAGATGATCAGGTATGGGTAGGCAAACAGGTATATACTCATGACCTTATATAGGTTTGGCAGATGATATTTCTATATATGTTTTTGTATGAGCTATAAAAATGTCCATATATATAATCAAATATATAATAGAGCAAACAGAATAAAGTTATGATAACTTCCTAGCCACAACCAAACACCTGGAGGGAGGGAGTCCTTGGGCCTGCAGGCTCAGGACCAGGGTCACAGGGGACAAAAGCTCAATTGGCATAATATAATAACATTGTGCCACATCCTACTTTGATGAGTAGCAACTGGGGTCTTAAAAGCTTGTGAGTAGCCATCTAAGATGCAACTATTGGTCTCCTCATCTGGAGCAAAGAAGAGTGAAGAAAATCAAAGATGCGTGGAAACAATTAGTCTAAGGGACCAGTGGACCATGGGAACCTCAACCTACACGACCCTAAAACCAGAAGGACTAAATGGTGCCCAGCTACCATGCCAACTACTTGGAAAGGGATTGTGGTGGTTAAGTTTGTGTGTCAACTTGGCTGGGCCTGGTTGAGTGGCTGGGCAGCTGGATGTAGTTATTCCCCATGGTGAGATTAGTAATTAACTCCATGGTGGAATCTATTGGAGCAGCTGAGTAGCTGCTTTGGGGATGTGGTCTGCTTCCCATATATAAGAAATAGCTTTGGGAACAGACTCTAGGTTATGGCATGTTTCAACCCTGCATGAGTCATGTCATTGTTCAGCAGTCTGCCATGCACTGCCGACCTTGGGACTTTCAACGGACTTGAACGAATGGCCTGCCACATGGTTTGGCAACATTGGGACTGTGGCTTTTTACTTATCAACCTTGGGCTTGTCAGCCTCAGCAGCCAGCAGCTGAGTGAAGAAAAGCCTCCAGCTTCAGTGGGCCGGGGGCAGCAGGCAAAGCTGAAGCCCAAGGTTGAGGGGCTTTCACCCAGCCCCAAGAGCTTGGCACTTTGAACTCAGATTTACAGCCTCCAGACTGTAAGAGATAAACTCTTGTTTCTTCAAGCCATCCCATTTGTGGTACATTCTTGTCAGAGTGGCACTAGGTAACCAAAACAGGGATCAAACTTGGAGTTCCTGAATAAAGTAGGAGAAAAACATGAAACAAAACTCAAAATCACAAAAAAGATTAGACTTACTCATCTCATAGAGACTGGTGAAATTCCGAAGACTATAGCCCCTAATCACCTTTTGGGCCTAAAATTAAACCCACTCTCGTGGCTCAAGTAAGCCAAATAATAGGCCTATGAGATGAACAATTACACCAGGGAGGTGCACTCCTAAGAATAATCAACCACAGGAGATCAAAAGGGCAGCATTTGCACGGGGAGAAAGTTCAGAAGGCAGGAATGCCTAGGAAAGGACATAGGGAAAAGTTAACCACAGGGAGGAAGTAGGAAGAAAGCTGTTATATTGTGGGGATTGCAATCAATGTCATGAAACAAAATGTGTATGAATTGTTGAATGGAAAAGGAATTTGCTCTATAACCTTTCACCCAAATCATAGTAAAAAGTTAGAAAAAAAAAAAAAAGTAAAGGCAGAGAAACAGAAAATGAGAAAAAAAATAAATAAAGAGATGAAAAGGAAAGTTTTGATGAAAAAAAATTGCCTTCAATTATTTTTTAGTTGAAGCAATCAGTTAATTGCTATTGCTTTGAAACTAAGGTGATAAAAAGGTACCATGTGGTAAATAGTGATCTACAGGAATTCAGAGTTCCCACAACAGCCTGTAGTGTTCATAATGAGAATGGCTATAAAGAGCCACAAGGCCCTTCTAAGGTAAAAATAGCAAAGAATGGATTTTGCTCACAATAAGTTTGTTGGCTGCCTCTTTAATTTTGTCCACTTTTGCTTCGGAGAGCCCTTTAACATTGCATAGGGCTCTTCTTGTTGTCATCTGTATCCCTTTGATGGTACAGATTCCCACTGACTTCAGTTTCTTAATGTCAGCCACGTTCTGCAAGTAGAAGAATGAGCACAGATTGACAAAATGCCAGCCGGAAAGACTCCCATAAGTCATGTGCTTTTGTATCCATCTCCTTCCACCACGATTCCAATTTTATACAAGCAGCCAGGTGGAACCCACCCACCATGTAGCCAAATGTTCTGGAAATATCTGAGTAGAACATACCCAGCAGGCTGCCAAATGTTCTGGCTGTGCCCTGATTTCCCAAGAATGTTAGTGGGACCATGGCAATGTAACAAGAAACTCAAAAGAAAAGTCTGTTGATGGAAAAGCTAACAAACACATCACACAGTCACCCACTCAGTTTAGCTCCTTCCTTCTACAGAACTTCATTACCAATATGTTCTTTTCAAAAAAAAAAAAATTAAGATTTTTTTTCCCTCTGCCCTTGAGAAATGCAAATAATGACATCACTAAGGGACTGGGATTTTCTCTTGTTCCTATTTTCTAAAACCAACAGAAAGTAATAAATGTGAGGACTTCAAAAGATAATGTCAGAGAAGTTTTCCTACCAACTGATTGCCACTGAAACGAATGCCGTTTGTTACTCAAAGTCTGGATTTCTGCCAACATCATTCATTCCAATCACCTGACATACAGACAGAACTGAATTTTCTGTTAATGAGGACAGTAAATATATAGAGATAAGGACATGGAGAAGGGGTTCAGAGGTAGTTGCAAACACCTCCAGTTGGCCAGTGGTTCTCAACTGGAGGCGTTCTTGCCCCTGCGGACACTTGACAAAGTCTGGAGATATTTTTGGTTGTCGTAGCTGGGAGGTGCTACTAGAAGGTAGGTAGTGAGTGGGTAGAGGCCAGGAATAATTCTAAACACCCTCCAAAACACAAGATAGCTCCCACAACAGAGAATTATCCTGTGAATAGGTCTATGCTGAGAAACCCTGACCTGGAAAACTTAACACTGAATGGAAAACTACTTACAATTCCATGTTTTTGTAACAGGTCAATGTCTTGAAACAAAGATTCCTAAAGGAGATAAAATTTTTTTTTTAAACTTTTCATGTCCAATTGTTTCATGTATTTTAAAGAGTTAATAAAATAAGTCACTCTAAAATGCCTCAGTGATAATGAGGTAGGATAAATGTTTTTTCTAACAGGTTGTTACATACTCTAACATGTTGTCACACAATTTCAGTTCCAACACTTAAAGAGTTAGGAAGTTCTGTCCTGGTGTCGAACAAATTTTAAAGCTTTTATCCAAAGCAGTAGAACAGTGTTTAACCTATTTTTAACCATTTTCTTCATTTTTCCCCACCACACTTTAAACTCATTGCTCTAGAACCAGGCTATCCCTGGGTGGTACAAACGGTTAAGCACCTGACTATTAGCCATAAGTTTGGTGGTGTGAACCCACCCAGAAATGCCTCAAAAGACAGGCCTGGCAATCTACCTCTGAAAGTTCACAGCCTTGAAAACTTTATGGAGGACTTCTGCTTTGAACACATGGAGTTGCCATGAGTCAGAATTGACTCAACAGTAACTAAGAACAACAATGTATAAATACTAGTATAGCCATACCAGTTGTTCAGTTAGTAACTTTCATGCCCCCTCACATACAATTGTTACATATCTTCAATGTTGCCTCTCTCTAGAACTATGTTTTATTTTTACTTAATTTCTAAAAATAGTAGCTAACAGAGAGGGAACTTAATTTTTGTGCCATACTTGAATGTCTACTTATTGTCTGACATTGTAACATACTTCATCATCTTGGAATCCTGTTTCTTCCAGCACAACTTGATCCTCCTTCATTTTGCAAGACGAGCAGCAGAATACCAATTCTAGGAAAATAAGAAATTGTTTCAGAGGCAGTCATAGATCATATAGTCAAAAATCTTTTACCCAGAGCCCTTCTTGATTTAATTTCAAAGTCATCAGGACCAAAAGAAGAGAAACATTTAGTTTGGAAAGACCAGGCAGATCTATCTTCTTTCGGTTGAGCAAAACAAAACAAAACAAAACCAACCAAACTCACTGCTGTCAAGTCAGATCCAACTCATAGTGACCCCTCCTTGGGTTTCCGAGGCAGTATCTTATGGAAGTAGATTGCCCAACCTTCCTTCCGAAGAGTGGCTGGTGGGTTTGAACCACCAGCCTTCTGGTTAGCAGTCAGGTGCCTTAGGCACTATGCTACCAGAACTCCTTTCTGTTGAGCAGGTGACATTATTTCTTCTGTGTGTGGGTGGGATGGGGTGGGGGTATGTCTTACTTGGTTTCTTATCTCCCTTCTTAATACTGCTCACTTTTTGTCATGCTTTTCATTTCCTGGTAGCACAGTGCCTAAGGCATCTGACTGCTAACCAGAAGATTGGTGGTTCAAATCCACCAGCCGCTCTGTGGAAGCAAGACTGGGCAATCTACTTTCATAAAGATTTACTGCCTCAGAAACCCAATGGGGGTCGCTGTGAGTCGGAATCAACTCGACAGCAGTGAGTTTGGTTTTTGGTCTATGGCACAGTTAATCATGCCCATCTGAGATCTTTATTGTTGTCTTAGAATGTTATTTAAAATTGCCTATTGCTATTTAACCTTTCATGTTTAACATCACTGTAATAACCTTGACCTTATGTCATTCTTCCTTGTATTCTCCCTGACACCTAGATCATAAGTCTATCCTGAATGAACAGATATTATTTTTCTCATATATGATATACGCCTTCCTGCTTGCTAACCATGAATGGGTTCTCTTGTATCTTTTTGTTTCATAAAGCATTGGATATAGGTTCATTGTTTTATAATATTTACCAGTTGCATGATTTTTTTAAAGATTAAAAATATGGTGGATACCTATCGTATAATATAATAATATTAGGGCTAATCAGCTGTTAAATAGTCTTTAACACTGTGGCAGTTTTAAATCTCAGGAATCTACATGACTGTGTTCCTTACAATAAAATGTCAGCTTAGTAATCAGTTTTCTTGGTCTATGCCATCTCCTTACTTAATACCAAAGTCAAGGGTCAGAACTCAGCAGAAAAGGAACAAACTATAATGTACAGGTATGGTCCTACCAACTAGTACTTTTAAACAGCAAGTTATAGGAAGCCAATGTGGATACAGTTTAAATGAAATCTTCTAGAATATTGTCCCTTAGATAGCTGCATACATACATGCATATATATATGTATCTATGCGTGTGTATATATATAACATAATGCATATGTATGTATACATATATGTATGTATGCATATGTACATGATTATAGTAAATTCTACATTGACTATTTTCATTGAATTGAAGCAAAGAATATATCCTGCATTTTTTCTCCCCTTGATGAAACGAAAAGATTGTTCGTTTTTTTAAGTAGCAATTGATGGATTGAACACGTCTCTCTACTGGGCTCCCAGACATCCTGGTTTCTGCCGTTTTATGGCCGGCCTCCCACTCGGTTTAAGGGAA